AGGACATTGTCTTTGTGGATGATATTGTGCCAATTGTCAATATTAATATTCTTGTTGTGTTATTGTTCTATTGTCCCGTTGGATGCTACCATCAGGAAGAACTTGATATAGGCTACAGAGGAGCTCTCTGTTTTATATTTTATAGCTTCATACGAATCTGTAATGCTCTCAAAATAAAATCTTTAACTAAAAAAAAAAAGAGTTGGATTCTTCATAAGTGAAATGGGTTTATAAGTAGTTTGTAGTAAGGATTACACAAAATGTTAGATATCTATCTTCCCTCCTTTATTTAATGAATATGGGTATCCCCAGAATAATATATATGTAGATCAACAAAGCATTAGATGCTAATTTGTAATTTTTATTCCTGTTTCCATAATTACATGTTAGTTAACTTTGAAGTTATGAAATCACTTTACCCAGGAGAGACAAGACACGTATGATAATTCAGACAACGGGAGAAGGAAGAACCTGAATTTTGGTCCCTTGGTTGGTGGAAATGGGGAAACTACCGGGAAGGCACTGACACCTATGTTCTAAGGTAGATGCTCAGAGAAGTGAGGGAGACGGGTGGATCCAGGGTGTGGAACTGAAAAATAGCTCCCTTTTGCTGATGTTGTTGTTGTTAGGTGCCATCAAGTTGGTACCAACTTATAGCAACCTTATACACAACAGAATGAAACACTGCACAGTCCTGCACCAGCCTCATAATCATTGCTATGCTGAGACCATTGCTGCTACCACTGTGCCAATTCATCTCATTGTGGGTCGTCTTGTTTTTCACTGACCTTCTATTTTACCAAGCATTATGCCCTTCTCTCGGGACTGGTCCTTCCTGATAATAGGTCCGAAGTATGAGTCTTGAAGTCTGGCCATCCTGGCCTATGAGGAGAACTCTGTGCATACTTTTTCCAACACAGATTTGTTTGTTCTTTTGGCAGTTCATTGTACTTTTAATGTTTTCATCTTCTGGCACTATTATCTGACAATGTTTCACTGCTGTTCATTAGATTTTCAGTGGCTAAACATTTAGAAGCATTCTTCTTCTCTGTCTTCTTACTCTTGAAACTCAATTGAAATCTGTCTATCATGAATGACCATGCTGGTATTTAAGGTACTGATGGCATAGATTTAAGCATCACAGCAACACACAGGCAAACTGACAGATAAGTGGTAGATTTGGAGCATGGATATTTATTATGGTTATGTCCTGTTTTTCAATTGAGTGTTGTTGTTGTTGTTGTTATAATCCCCTCTATGCATCATCAACCAACCAAAGGGTAGACCCCGCAGGGCTGCCCCATGGTCATCAATACACAGCCCCTCTCCCTCTCTGGGTCTAGAATTCCAAGCTGTACAATCTCTCCAGGTCATCCTCTCTGTCTCCATCTCTGGCATCACTGTTTCTCTTGGTAGGTTCCCGCACTCGCTCTTCTCCCTTGATGGTCCCAGGGGCCTTTGTTCCTGGCCTGCAAAGTCAACCACTCCCCTCCTTTTGCCAAAAAAGTCTACCTTTACATTTCCAACCCTCACAGTCAGTAATGATAGTAATCATTCACTATTGTACCACAGGAGTGCTATCCCCATCTCCTTTCATCAGTCCCGCCTAGACAGCTTGGATACTACTCAGTGAAGATTCTACCTTCCTCTGCACCCTCTGGATCTAGGCTCCCTCTTGAAAGCTTATAAGCCAGTCACTTCTTGCCTTTGTAGCCCACCCCCATCCCCCATTTTGGGTAGGCAATTTCCAAGTTGCCCATCCCTGTCTACTCTGTGTATGGAAGGGGTGGGAATGATCCTCACTGTAAAGATTTGTTCTCTCTTTTGAGCTACTGCAAGCATAGTTGTAGGTCAAGTTTATCAAATGGTATCAGATTACTCTTTTTTCCCTCTTCTTTCTTCTTCTAGTTGAGTTTTGATTATCCAGCCATTGATGCCAAGTCAAGTGGGTATTATCTGTAAGTGTGGGTGTTCTGATGTATATACCCTCTCTTCTTATCAGCTGGACACTTCACTCTCCACCCTAGTCCTCTGTGGCTATGTCACTGACTCTGGGACCAGGAGTCCCCAGGTCTTGCCACACTGCTGGCCAACCAGGTCTCCACCTGGGTTCATAGGAGTCTATTGAAGATGGTTGGACTTAGCTTGCAGCTTCATTGCTATTTTTCCTCATTTCCTTTTATTGGTGATCAATGTGGTCACCAGTCAGAGCACGTGTCTGCTCATGTATTCCCATTGAATCTTTAGTCTTTGAAGGTGGTTTGCCCTGAGGGGACTCAACCACGTGGCTTGGTGTCTCTTGGGCGAGCAACTTGCTTGTTCTTGTAGTAGTCAGTTGGACTACTTTTATTGTTTTGTATTTTTCCTGTTGGTCTTTCTTTCAAGAAGTACTTTCTGTTCTTCTAGCCACTCCAGGATGGTCTGCTTGTCCTTTCAAGTGGAAATTTCCCACCTCAGAAGATTCTGGATAAGGTTCAGGATTCCTGCAGAGGCTCCGCATGAAGCCTCCTTCACTGGGCACGTTGTAGCCCTGTTTTAGGTATTCCAATCAGTTATAGGCAGAAGACGGACTTACAAGCTTGCTATGGTGATATTTCTGGATATTCCTTTCTCTCCCCTTTAAGTGTCTATTTTATAATGGTATGCCAGGGAAACCAAGATTCAAAAGCCAGCCAAGCATCTTAACATATGTCCCCCATTTTGCCCGTTCCAACCATGCATCAATCCCTGTATCCCAGAGCCCTGTTGTTCCAAGGTTGTGCACACATCATTATTTACCTGTGTCCTATAACCCCATGCAAACCTGCCTAATTGTTTTCCCATCTGACTTGTTATTCCATTCCCCTCCCCCTTCTTGTGTATTGCACCCCTCCCCAGCACCCAAACTATCCTGTGTCTATTCCCTGCCCTGTGCTCCACCTTCCCCTCCCTCATCACACCCCACCCACTCATTCCAGTAACCAGCAAAGAATCCCCACCCTTTAGTATGGGTTCTTTTTCTTAGAGTTTTACAGCAGTGGTCCTATGCAGTATTTATCCTTTTGTGACTGACTGATTTCACTCAACATAATGTCCTCAAGGTTCATCCATGTTATGTGATAGCTTACAGCTTCCTTGTTTTTCTTCAAGGTAGCATAGTACTCCATTGTGTGTATGTACCACAGTTTGTTTATCCATTCTTCAGTTGATGGGCACTTAGGCTGGCTCCATCTTTTTGCTATTGTAAATAGCACTGCTATGAACATTGGTGTGCATATGTCTATTCGTGTTATGGCTCGTATTTCTTATGGATAAATACAAAGTAGAGGAATTGCTGGATCATAAGGTATTTCTATTTCCAGCCTTCTGAGGAAGCTCCATATTGCTTTCCAGAAAGGTTGGACCATTTTGTAATCCCATCAGCAATGCAAGAGCATCCCAGTCTCTCCACATCCTTGCCAGCATTTATTGTCCTCTACTTTTTTGATCTTTGCCATTATTGTTGGTGTGAGATGATATGTCATTGTTGTTTTGATTTGCATCTCTCTAATGGCTAGTGATCGTGAACATTTCTTCATATGTTTGCTGACTGCCCAGGATCTCCTCCTTGGTGAAATGTCTGTTCATGTCCTGTGCCCATATTTTAATTGGTTTATTTGTCTTTTTCTTGTAGAGGTGTTGTAGTTTCCTTACATGGTCTACTTTTGAGGGATTAACTCCTGAAAACCTTATGAATAGCAGTAAAACACTATTTGATACACATAAATTTGTAATTTTTAACTTCCCAGTCACTATTCATCAAAGTAAGATGTAGAACGTTATCTTTGTGGACTATGGCAATTGGTTTAGATGTCCCTGAGACTATGGCTCCTAGTCCTCAGGCCCAGTGATTCATTCTTTCAAGGTGTTTGATTATAGCTAAGAATTTATCGTAACTTTGTCCCTGTATTCTTTACTATATTCATGGATATAATCACAGTACATACAAATATAAGTATATGTGTTTTTAAAAAGTTTTTTTGCAATCATATTTTTAATTACCAAAGGTCTCTCTATTTTCTTAATATGGTTAAAATATTATGATGATATTACAATTAGTTCAAACATTTTTTGGTATTCTCAACATGAATATTCTCAGTGGCTAGGTTTTGATTTTAAAGTTGCTGTTGGGTTTCCATAAACGACTTCTGAATCTTGTAGTTTTGTTCATATAAGTGAGTTTGCAGATCCTTAAAAATATTTATAGTATTTAATGTTGGAGGATATTTCTTCACCCAAATGAGAACAAGCAATTCTGGATCTGGTTTTAGGAGCCTCATTGGCAACAGATGTGCAATGAAGGGGATGGGTGATGTCCAGCCAAAGGACAAACCTGTGTTGTGTTTGAGCAGCTTCTTTTCTAGACCTGGAAGTTTCCCGTCTCCTCTCTCCTTTCTTCTGACACTGCACTCCCTTCAGGAATATGTGGTATCCCAACTCCCATCTTATCTCACAGGGCTCTGCTAAGTGAGTTGGAAGAGCACTTATTAATTCTCTAATTAAGAAAAGTCTGGCTCCCTACAATCCCCATTTTTTACCCCACCCCCTTCTTTCTCCTCATACTCTGGCCTCTTCCCGGGCTATCTTTTGGGAAAAGGCAGTAAGGAAGTGTTTTTCTCTTCTGCTCATAGGATGATGAACTTTGATACAAATTTTTCATCATTTATCAAGGTCATGAATTCCAACTGATGCTTCAAAAGTCTCATTGTTTCCAATAATCAATTTCACCTTGAAATAATGGCCACTAAGATCATTGTTTTTGAAGCATTAGGAGTTTTTTTTTTTGGAATTAGAGTTGTAACCCTAGAAATATATTAATGTTGAAATGACTGTTTTTATCTGTCAGCAACTAAAGTGTATTGAAGGTGAAACAATATTTATCCAAGTGTTCAAAGTCCTGTTAAGTGTTTCATCAGCTTGTGTTTTGATTAATAAAAGCTTTGGATTTTAAGCTTTCAATAGCATTTAGTCAAAGTGCATCAATGGATCTCTTTACCATCCTGGTGATTTGCCTGTCTTGCTTGATTTTTCTGTTGATATGGAATCAGAGCTATTCCAAAGGGAAATTCCCACCAGGCCCTACTCCTCTCCCTATTCTTGGAAATATTCTACAGTTAGATATTAAGAACCTCAACAAATCGTTAAACAAGGTAAGTGTGATTTGATTAATTTTCTTGCAACTGTTGGTCATGAGTAATAAGACAAATAAAATATGACCCCAAACACCCAGATGCCATTTTAGGATGAGTATAAAAAGACTACTAGAAGGGAAAGGGACCCAGGAGATGATGGTTGAAATTGTAGGAGTTCCATGTTCATATTGTTATGTGGAGTGCCTGGGTGGTGAAAATGATTAGTGTGGTTGATTACTAACTGAAAGGCTGAAGGTTCAAATCCACCCAGACATACGTTGGAAAAAAGGTCTAATAACCACTTTTGAAAAATCGGCCATTGAAAACCCTAAAAGGCATAGTTTTACCCTGACACACATAGGGTTACCATGTGTAAATATCAATTTAATGGGAACTAAAAATAAAAAAGTTTGTTGCTTATTGATATGCTATTTTAAAAGATATTTGTTGTTGAACATATACACAGCTGAACATGTATCAATTTAACAGTTTCAACATGTACAATTCAGTAACATTTTTCAAGTTGTACTTCCATTTTCATTCCCCTTTTTTGAATCTTTCCTCTCCATTAACATAAACCCATTGTTCCTGATTCCTAGCTAATCTCTCAGTCTGTTGTTGTCAATCTGATCCCACCTGGATAGTTCTTAAAACAGTATAATAGTCAAGGCAGACACTTTTTACTGGTTAAGCTAGACTATCGTTTGACTAAAAAACTTCAGAGGATACTTTTGGTTTAAAGATTATTTTATG